ATTTTAATATTTATTAATTTAGATCTTAAAAATGATATGTATTTAATTAAATTTATTATTTTAAATGATCTAAATAATGATTTTTAAGTTGATCTTATGATGACTATTTTTTAAGAATAAAATAAAAGTAATATACAATAATAAAATTTAATAAATATGTTAAAAAATTATTTTTTAAATTAATCGATTAAATTAGTCAAATGAATTGGTTTAATCGGTTGAACTAGACCCAATAACCAAATCGAATCAACCACTGAGCCACCCCAAAACACTTTATCCAATGTGACATTTTACAATCAATTTTTTTTTTTTTTAGAAATTAATCGATTCTTTTTTATTTAAAATTATGCCAAAGGCATGTTAAATCAATTAATGTCATATTATATTACATAAAAAATTATAGGAAATATCTACAATAATACAAGATCAATGCATATCACTCCTGACTTTCGAATCCTAAATTACACTTGAAATTTGAAATCTTATTTTATTAAATATTAATATTTAGATTTAAAAACTCATTATATATTTTAATATATCAATATTTAATAAGATAATTTTTAAAATTTTAAATTAAATTTTAATTAAATAAAATCACGTAGTTTAAATTTAAAACTCCAATTATTTTTAGGAGTCAGAACTGATATATATATTTTTTAATAGTATATAAGATAATAAATTTATAATTATAATATGCTTTAATTAAGTGAATGTACATAATGGTATAAGTAAATCTTTGAAACTCCAATTATTTTTAGGAGTCAGAACTGATATATATTTTTTTTAATAGTATATAAGATAATAAATTTATAATTATAATATGCTTTAATTAAGTGAATGTACATAATGGTATAAGTAAATCTTTTAAAAAATATATGAATTATCTAACAATATATATTACAAATTTATAATTTTAAGTGACATAATAAATATAAGAGTATATTTTTTAAAAATATTATTGTACCCTTAATAAGGTATAGTTATTGTCACCATTTATATTAGAGTAATGATATTAAAGACAAAAATTTAGAATGAAAATTTAAAATCAGTAATGACATGACATAAGTCATATAATTAAAATAATTAATGCATACACTATTGTAAATCTCAAAAAAATAAAAAATACTATTCATTAAATAATATATAATCTTTTTAATATTTTAAATAATGTGATTTATATCACGTCATTAATTTTAAATTTTGATTTTAAATTTTAGTTTCATTTATTATTATTCTCAATATTATTAAAACTATCAAAATTTTAATTTTTTTTCTTAAACAGTGACTAAATATCAATTTATTGAGTACTTTTAATTTTTAAATTAATAAATATCAATTCTTTTATTAATCAATAATTAATAATTATAATTTTTATTAATTTTTATCAAATAAATTTGTTGGTGGGGATAACCATGCTCCTCCTAACATCACAAATTGTAAGTATGTCCAAAATCCCCGCGCCACATCAAATCTCAATTATTATAAAGTCCTCCAAGTTAAATCGCTTTCGATTTCGATTGTGATATTTTGGATAGAAAACCAATACCCACGGAGAACAGAACTCCATTTTATTCTTATTTCGTTGGACGGAGATGGAGAGTCTGAGTTGGAAAAGGAAGAAAGGAAAGTGACCATTGAAATTTTCAGAATAGAAAGAAATATCAAACTAGAACAGATATATTATGTCTATAATGTTAGGTACATTAATATATAATTAATATTTTTAAAAAAATTATGTATATTATTATATTTATTTATTTATTTAATATTATATTATTATTATAAACTTATAATCATATTCATACCACTAATTTTTTATTTATCATAGAATAGATAACCACTCCCTCGTACCCAAATAAAACTTTTTTGAATTAGAATTTTGCCCACAATAACACTAATTTTTTTATATTTTAAGGGAAATGAATATTTTTTCTACATTAATTATATTATTATTTTTTAATTTTTATTCTCTTTTATATCATAAGAAAAGTTTCTTTATTTTTATTTTTTTAATGGTAACATAGTTAAAAATATGAGTATGATAAATTTAACAAAAATTTGAAATCAATGGTATAACATAAGTTATATAATTTAAAATATTAAAAAGTAGATATTATATTATTTAATAATTAACTCTTTTTATTTTTTTTAACTCATAATATTATATGTATTAATTTATTTAATAACATGATTTATACACCATCATTAGTCTTAAATTTTTATCCTTTTTGTATCAATACTCTAAAAATATAAATTGAGTAAAGTCAAGGAATAATAATATCATTAAGTAAGAGAAAAAATATTTATCTTAATTAAAATATAAAAAATAA